AGTGGCAACGATAGCCCTATCCCTGGAATAAAAAGAAGACCTACTAATACACAGTCCCAATCAGGGCTAACCGTTATCAAAACACTCCCATCTCGGCGAGATTGGTGATAGGATTTTAACGCTAGTGCGCAAGCGCGGGCTGATCGAGAGGGGCTCTCGATGACTTCGCGGTTCGGTGAACAAACACAAAAGCGACGTGCTATAGAATCTTGACTGGGGCAGAGTTGCCAATCCCCTCTATATCTCCTGATTGTACGATAAATATTTTATCAAACAAAAGTTAATTTTAACTTAGTTCGTTAGATTTGTAGTCGTACATTCATTAAGAAATGTCATCTTTAGAAAGTAAACATCTTTGTAGTGCATTTTAATCGGTACCACATTTATAAGACAGCTTGTCACCATTATGAAATAATCAAATCCTATTATGCTCACCAGTTATGAGATTTGTCTCCCTTAGACCGTCTGGGGTGGATGTTGCAGTATCTGTGCTGTAGTATTCAAGTGAGGTGGCACTATCCAGCACACACGCAGGCATACACACATAGGGAGATAATTAGCGCCTGATAGGGCAGCTCCTACGAATTCCTCAAAAATTGTATTTATTCATGTATATGCTAATTGTATTGATTGTATAAATTGTATATCTATGTACTGTAAAGCGCTTTAGAGTGGTTTATTCTAGCTAGATAGGGGGCTATATCAAATGTTGTAGATTATTTAGACCGTGAGCTGAAGACATATTGTTTTGTATTTATATTGTCTTGTGTGTTGTTGTTAAAATTGCCGATAGAAAAACAGAATTTGAATTGTTTAGATCTACTGCAAAAGTGAGAGTAAAGATTTTAAATGTCATGTGCGGATCTAGCCACTTAATTGGGTAGGGGTACCGCCTGGTGGTTACCGTTATTTCCCCAGGACTTAAACAAGCATTGAAACTGATAATAATTCTTTACCTCGTCGTAAACAATATGATTAATATTTAGTAACTCACCAAACGATACCAATTCATTATCGTATGTATAAGATACAATAAATTGTGAAATAGTTCAAGGGTATGTACGAAATATCAACGATAAGTGACAAAGCCCGATTTCAAATATATTACTGTTCCTCATTCATTATATTCTTATTGGAGTAAAATAAAATCCTTTATAACTGTAATTGATGGCGGAGAAGAGGGGGTCGTCTTCTTCTTTATTTCAGTCTTTTTCTTTCTTTCGTTTTGAGTTTTGTTTCCTCTTTTCAATGTATGTCACAGTCACAATTAATATTAATAATAATAATTGGAGGTTCTTCTATACCGCTTTATCACAACTTAGTTCGTAGGTCGTCTCAAAGCGGTTCACAAATTATTATCCGTGGTTATAGGGCCTTTGCAACCAGACAATACATTTCTCAACTCACTGGGAAGCATACAGCCGGAGCTGCCATTTCGGCGCTAACAGCTAGCATTCACCAATTTTAGCACTGCCCAACCACGTACTCAAGCGGAGTAAAGTATCTTGCTCAAAGATACAACACATTGCCGAACCCGCAACCCTTCGATCACGAGTCAGGCGTCCTACCACTGGACTACCGTGCCTCCTAAAATATGATGGTTAAGATGGCTTGCAATGAAATAACCAAATAATTTCAACTAAATAGACGTCCATGATAGCTCTTCATAAAACATTAAGTTCGGTAACTAGACGGGACTCATTCCCTTTCGGAGTTAAACGGGCAGTTTGCAATTTTGCCAAATTTCTCCCCAAGCTGTTACCACATCCAACAACTCACGGTGCGCCAACATACGAGGTGTTTGGTTTCGGCGAAAGAAAATATGCTTAACTTTCTTCCCCTTATTTGCTATTTTTATGGGGCAGCTGATAGTCAGGTATTTCAGGCTAGATGAGTGATGTCTGCCATATGAATGCAGTTAACTGATATAAAGGAGCTAATAGTCAAGTAAGTCACTGGGAAGAGCCACCCATGTGATCTTTACGAAAGTCTAGAATATGTTTATTGGACCAACTCGTAGTTTGTACTATTTTCCTTTATAGAAATACGTGTCATTCAACGTTATAATTGCTTTGTCATGGTCATAAAATAGAATAGAAAAAAGGTGCCAGAATAATTGATGACTTCATAACGTGTTATGTGATCAACACCAGCGGCCGTTCTCATTAAACCGGCCGTTCTCATGCTCAAGCATGGATTCTGTTCTCAATCCAACTTTCTTGTAACTGTAAAACGACCAAAAGGTCAAATGTAACATTGAAAGCAGCATCACCTTTAAGTCTCTTCAAAAGGTTTCCAAATCATTGACAAAATATTTTTAATTTATAAACAATTGAGCACAAAATCAATGCTTGAGCTTAAGAACGGTTTCGTGAATAAGAGCCAAGGATTCTGTGGTGCTGTGCATCACATTCGAACCATTTTACACTAGGATACATCGGGCAGACTGAATAATTATAATATTTCTCTGAATGAAAGTCACCTTTTATAATTCCGCAGAAACACTTATATAAGAAATATCGTCTTGTCAATTGTTTCTGATCGCATTCATGATACATTTGGCAGTTAAAAATGTCTGTATGTCATTCCTGTATTAATTATTGATTGCGGTTAAACACGCCCTTACTATTTCTGAAGTAATTTTTATCCCTTTTCCTAAAGATTCCCTTAACCATATACCCTTTGTTTTTATCTCTGGTAATATTTTATCAAATGTGTATATTGGAAAAACTTAATTTATTTACATAACCGTAACAGTTTTTTAATGTACAATAATCACCGGAAATATCAAACAAGGGAGCGCTTTTATTATTGGTACTGATATATTGAAAATCTATGCCGAACTTTTCCAAGATAAGAAAAAAAAAGACGCATAAAGCCCTTCATAAAGTGTTCATATATTTATTTTTTGGCTGCAAAAGCAGTTCATCAGTAATTTCTTTTTTTTCTCTCAAGTAAACCGCATTACGGTTACGGCTTTGGGACTGACTATGTAATGACAATGTGAATTTTCAAAAAAAAAAAAAAATCAAGGAAGAAAAAAACTATGAGACCAACCTTACTAGTAACGATTGTTGGTAACCTGAATTGCAATGTGAACAATACAGCTGCTATATATAAATGGGCCTCACACGAATCTAGTATTAAAATGACTCTAACACGTCTATGATATTGGTACACTTTTCACTTGTATGACTGTACCATATTAAATAAATGTTATTAAATCTAATTTGATAAAGGTATATATTCTTTTATCGCTCCCGACATTTCATCCCCATTGCATTTTCCCCCTGTTGGTAACTTCAAGAAAACTATACCCTTAAATGGAACAGACTTGAGTAAATTTTCTAAACATCAAATGGAAAATATTTGAAATGATATTCATTCGAAAATGTGCATGCCTACGTTAGGAAATCATATTTCTCGTGGATATCGTCCATCTTCCCAACGATATCAAACTTTTTTTATTACTAACCAGACAACCTGACGTGGTTAATTTCCATTGTGAAAGTAAAATGTAATTAATTTCAGACTTCGAGAACCTTCCATTATTAATTAATTATATAGCATCATTGGGGGGAGAGGTGTTGTCAAGTGTTGATCTAAACCCCGAAAATGTCAAATAATGTACCCTACATATCAGGATAGATTCCAAACATAATCTTGAAACTGATTCCAAATTGTCTTTCGTTGGTAACGCTTTATTTTATATTTTTTTTTACTTTATCATGATACAGGTATAGCTATTTGAAATGACTTCCCTACCGTGGAAACAGGTTGAAGACATTGCAAAGTCGGGAGTTCTGACTTCTAATGTATTTAACCATACAACTAAATACAGTATATCTGTAGCTGCTAATATTCTGGTCATGATTTTGATCATAATAATTTGTTTACAGGTGACTGTAACCAAGATTTTGTCACATATTACACGAATTATCAATACATTTTCCTGGGAACTGAAGCATGACCATTGTCCCTAAATATACTTGACTTTGTAAAAATCCTATTGGTATCTGTACATTCAACTTTCGGTTTCGATTTACATTTATATTACTCATGATCTTGCATAACCTATAGTAATAATTCGTCATTCTTTTTCCATATCCATTCTATTGCGCAGATATATATGTCTTACGCTTCCTTGTAAGTTTATTACGCAAACACCCCGCATATAGGTGTATTTAGTCATACATGTTCTATTGTTAGAAAAAATTGACGCATGCGCAGTGTTAATAGTTCGCAATGAAAATTTTCATCTATTACTAATTTGTGTGAAAATTTTCATTAAGAACTTACATGGTTCTTTCATTTGAGATAAAATAAATATATTATTTACAAAAATGTTGCCTCCACGTATAGGACGGTTTTGATGATCTCTTTATTAACACTAGATGTTTAAAATGTCTGTCTGCGTAGGCGATTGTGTTGATAAGTATACTACAGTATATTACACGCAAAGGGATATACGTACAGGATTGTAAGGAGGGGGACGTTTGAACAGTTTGTACCGAATTCTACTTATATCTATATATGTTAAGGCAAAGTAATGTAAGAAAATATAATTTCTATAAAGGTTTACGTTATTGATCTTTTCACTGTTTGTCTTACATTAGTCTATACTGACATCTGTCATCACATTTTAATGCATATGTACTTTTCTGGGTACTGTAATTATTAATCTGGTGGTAGCTAACATTAATTGTTTTACATTTAACTAAAATATTAAAAATAATCAATAATGAAATAATTTCTTTTTTCATTATGTTATTTTTATAATATTATTTTTATGTCCATTTTATAATTAAAATATATTGAAATCATTGTTTTTTTTTCTATTTATTTTATCATATTATCTTTATATTCATTTATTATAATATTTTTCATAAAATAAAATTTCATTAAACGTGTGTATTTCTGTCTGAAACGGGAGTCGTTACACAAGTATTTGCTATTTTAACAATTCCTCATATTATTTTATGTTGTAATATTATATATTGGATTTCACGAACTTTTTCTGCTCTTCCATTGTTAGTGGATGATGTGATTGTTTGAAATTTCTTATAACTATATATATATATATTTTACTCTTGTAATGTTTTAAGGCATTTTATAGCATTTTACACTTTGAATTTAGCTTAGTTTCACTACCTATAATAACGCATTATAGATTAAAGCTATAAATGAAGTATCAGAGCCTCTTAAGACATATTTTACATACTATACTAGTTTGTATTCATACAAGCATTAGTCATACAGTTTTCTATAATATCTGTTAATGATATATACTAAAAGTTTCCTTGAAATGAAGCTTATAGATAATAACTCTTTTAAACTAATAGGGTAATTTTTTACCCTAGTTCTTAAATCAGTCTTTGGGAAAACAGAAAACACTGTTCTACGTAAGTGCTGTTAATGTTCGTGCTGTTTAACACAGATACTCCTACAATAAAGCACGTTCCTTCTAGTTAGTATGCTACGGACTATTTAGCTATGTGTCTATATTTCTTTCACACAATTTCAAATGAAAACTGGTGTGTTTATAAAACAACCGTACGATAAACTATATTTATGTTATTACTCGATATGTGAGGGGTTTAAAGTTATTAAGTTATATTTAAAGCTGCATGGAATGTTAAATCATACGAATCTATTTTTGACTTGTAGTTCCTGTTTGTTATAACATTTGCATTCTGTCTTTACATTTATCGAATTAAACCTGAGCTCACCATGAAAGGCTATGCTACCATGTTTATAAACCAGCATTCCTCGGAAATATTGTAGTTTTTAAATACTGCAATATTTTTTATTATATGCCATTTTACATCTATAAGCCAATTCGTCGCTCAAGTCAAATTAGAATCGCGCTAAATCTAAGGATATCATAGTCCATTATGTCCTGTAACACTTATTCCCTTTTGTTATAATGGTATATGACGTTTCTCCTCCAATCAGAGTTGTGAATGAAAAACAGGTGTATTCTAATTTTAGAACGGCGCGTCTTTTTGGAAATACCCAAACCTGTTTTTAGTGTCTATTCACAGAATCGTCATATGACGATTGTCTTATAAACTATAGAATCGTCATATAACGTTTGTCTTATAATCTATGGATTTACAACACTTTAAAAGATAGTAATGTAATAGGTATGTAACCTAATTTTGCTGCTCGTCTAACAGTATTTGATCCATCGACTTTCCAGGTGAGTACGATCTGGTTCTATTTGTTAGGGTTTCCTTATTCATTTTAAATATAAACGAGAATTTTGCTGTCATGTAGTCGGTTAACCTACTGAAACATATATATTAACTATGTTTCTTTCGGAGTTGGGCATCAACCACATGTTATTAGGTATGTGATTTATCATATGTTAAGATGTGAAGAAAACTGATGTAGGATAATTAATTGACTAAATTCTTCCTTGAAAATTCAAACTTGGTAATAATATGGGTTTTCATATAACGAGTCATTTAAGTGAAAGAGTCTCTCTAGTTATTTATGTAGGAATATAGCACAGGCCTCTGTGTCGGTGACAAAGTGAAAAGTGCTGTTACTCGAATGGATCAAATACACAAAGAATATATGGACATATCTATATTTATGATTTGCTAGTATGTTCAATGTAAAGAAATTATATCTTTTAAATGTAGAATGATGTTGCTATAAAAAGCTTAATAATTCCATATTCATTTTTGTCCATATTTTGGTGTAATTAAAGTTATAAACCATGGATATTCAAAAACCAACGTATTCCACACACTGTTGAGTATTTCCAAGATACAATGACACACTTGTTATTTCTGTCGACCAATGAAATTCATCCTCGACTTTTTTTATTGCTGAGATACTGTTGAGTGTTTCAATCAATATTACAGTGACAGAATGACTTTTTCTGTCGAACAAGGAAATTTATGCTCAACTTTTTTATGACTGGCATACTGTTAACTGTTCTTGTACAAATAAACTGGTAAAATAATTACTTTTGTCGACCAATGAAATTCATCCTCAAATCATTTTGATAACTGACATACAGTTGGAAATTTCCAAGATGGCTATTTTTGTCGACCGATGAAATATATATTAATACATATATAAATATATGGAACTTCCGCTATAAACGAATATATCACATACGTAATTGGTTGCTGTTGAAATTTATTTTAAGAAATTATGAAACTTTGCTATTATTGGACAAAACCTACAATAACCGACGGTAGCTTTAGATTACGTACAGCTGCGCTGCAAGGTAGGTTAAAATAATGAGCACATGGACACAGTAACCTTGAATGTTATGACAGCACTATGTAATGGGTTTAAACGTAGGCTCAATGATTGTAGGTGTAGTGTCAATCAATATGTGTGTATACACCATTTCATGTTAGTTAAGTCTGAGATTTCTATTTACATATATCACAAAAGTGAAAGAACCTCGTGGCACTAATTAGCGTAATTATCTAATCTACTAATTAACAACAGCAGTAATTGCTCGTTTTGATATATATACATAATTATTTATTTATCCTTAGAAGACAGATGAATTTAGAGAATTATTAAAAATCAAAAGTTGAGCCAAATGAATGAATGAAGACGACTTTTGGGTGTAACTAGATATTTTAAGGTAATGTTAACATGATAAGTTATATTGATGTAAGTTTGTTTATTACTTAAAAAATCTTCTTATTTTTATTTCCATTCCAGGCAACGATTAGGGTGAATTTTACATTTGGTATCGGGTGAAACATTACTAGTACGCAGGTATACGTTACTGGTTCACGCCACTGGTTCACGTCACTGACGCGTTCATGTCACCAGTTCTTTTCGTTACTAGTACGAATCACGCCCACTGGGTCATCACGTCACTGGTTCATTTCTTTTGTTTCGGTCTACTGGATAGCAGAGTCACATGTCGGGAGGAGCTGTTATGTCTGAAGAAAGGATGAAATTGGACAACGTTAATATGGAAATGACATTTACTTAAACCGTCATCTCCAAACAGGCATTGGAAAGGATTCGTGCCTACAAACATATCAAATTTCTTTCCCATTGCTAACATATGTAACATCATATAAGAATTATTTGTTAACTACAATGATTAGCTCTATCATATGTATTGAACTATTGTGCACACACGAGTTCACACGTGCTTGAACCGACTGATTTGCAACATGCATATGTATATACATGTAATGTTTTCAGTAACCGAGTTCCGCTGTTAGTTTGACAGTATTCAACAATTGACTTTCCAGTTCTTTCGTAAGATTTTTCTAACTGATATCCGTTGTAATGCAGTCTATTTACCAGTTACCCTACTGTTACACACATCAGCTATATGTATTTTGGTGTTGGGAATCAACCACTTTTTATTTGCTTTATGAATTATAAGAAAGTAAGGTGTAAATACAACTGATAAAGAACGACCGAGTATATTCTTCTTTGAAAATTCAATATGAGAAATATTTCGGGTTTTCATGAAAAAATCATTTTACTTGTTATTTGTTACGTAGAAAGGATTCTTTGTAAAGATATTAATCTATGTTAAATAAGTTGTTTGTAGATGACGGGATGGACGACAATGCTACAATGGATAAAGTAAACAAAGGATCGTAAGAACGGTTGGTATGACATTCACGTTTATGATGACGATTTGCAAGTAACTATATTGATCTCTCAAACACAATTTTTATGTTCATATCGGAAACCTAGTAACACCATATGCACTTTTATTGATATGATTAGAGATAAACGATGGTTATGCATAGATTAATATATTCCACATACTATTGAATTGATAACTGACCTACTGTTGTGTGTTTCTTGGTACACAATGACAGAATCATTATTTCTGTCAGCCAATGAAATTCATCTTCAACCATATTTTGATAGCTGACTTACTGTTGGGAGTTTTCAAGTACACAATGACAATATGAATATTTCTAATGACAATATGAATATTTCTGTCGACCAATGAAATTTACACTCAGATGATTTTGATAACTGACATACTGTTGGGAATTTTCAGGAACACAATAAATGATCATTATTTCTGTCGACCAATGAAAAATGCACTCACACATAAATATAACATATATGGAATTTCCGCTAGATACGTATGCAAAACCCACGCAAGTGGTCGCTACTGAAATGTATTTTAAGATATTATGGAACTCCAATTTTTATTTCTATTTTCTTATGGGAAAATGCAGTCAGAAAACATACATATGAATTCTAATGGCAACTGATGAATTTGAGATGACATACAGCTGCATTTACAGTAGGTTAAACAACATACACACGTACAGTGTCAATATCGGTTTTTATGACGGCACTATTGGCGCAATGTAAATGTTATATGATTAAAAATAGATAGATTGATTGTCTGTTGTATAGTACGTAAACATATGTGTATTGGCCATTTCGATGATGTTAGTGTAGGCTTTTATTCTAATTCGCTAAGTTTAAGAAACCTCGTGACTCTAATTGGTGTAATTATTACTTTACTACAAGTTAACAACAATAGTAACTGTTAGTTCACCTTGAATAAGTGCTTATTTATTAACTCTAACTTGACAAATTCATTTACAAAACTATTTCAAAACGAAAGTATATGAAATCATGAATGAAGTCAGTTTTATTTTAACCTTAACTAGATTGGTGTTACATAATGTTTATATGTCTTTTTTCACATATGGCTTTATTGATGAAAAGATATGAAGTATAATTGTTTGTTGCATATGTATCTTATTGTATTCATTCTCTTTTTCAGTGGTTCAGTGATTGTGGTCAATTTTACATTTGGTTCAGGTGAAACATTACTGCAATAATACTTAGGTAAACGTTACTGGTCCACGCCACTGGTTCACGTTACTGGATCGTCACGTCACTGGTTCATCGCCTCGCTGATTCACGTCTGTTGATTGCGTGTAACAGATAGTAATTATCGCCATGATGAGCTTTGCCTGAAAAAAGAATGAGCGCTGCCAACATTAGTTACATAATGGAGCTGTATCTCAAAACAGAACATTTGACTGGAGTATATGCGGAACGAATTTCTTTCACACTTGTTATGTTTTAACAACTTGCTTTTATTCATATCGCTGTTTAGTTCTACAAAAGTACTTAAATGGAGTGGTCACTCGTCTTCAAATATTAGAGAGAAAAAATCTTTACCTCAGCGAAGCTACTACAATTACCATACACATTAACTAAAATTCTAGTAAAAACTTTGCTCCAATCCAAGACTGTTTGTTATTCTCATCCGATAGTGCTAAAATGGCATTGCTTAAGTCTGCTATTGAAACAAAACAGGCCCCTTTCGCTTATCCAGTTCAATCGTTTCAAACCAGTGGAATCTGAAAGAAAACGACTCGAATTTTCCGAACGTGCCAAAACCGAAATTAAAATGCTGATTATTGTTCAAATTTTATTTTTGAATATGTTATATGATTTAGTGATCGCGTGAAAGAGAGACATTATTCTTGATATATTATTATTTATTTGTCACTAAACTTCGAAACTGTGCCTTTTTTTAGCTCTGCCTACACTTTGGTCCAGTACCTTCGTTTATCGTGGAATATTTCTGTGCCACCTGTACCGTTCAAATCGGATAACGCGGATGCAACCCCATACAGTTCAACTGTTTCGGCAGACAGTTATCTGTATATGAATGATAACAATACAAACAAGTATTTCAATAGATTGCAGGGGTGACGATTAGAGATAATTCACTAATTCCGAACTGTTTTAAACTTTGTAGCAATTATAACATTGAATGTATATACCAGATGATCATTTTCTCAAATCTTTTACAACATGATTGCATATTTCTTATACAAACAAAACATTTCATATAGTTGTCATTTTAGGATTAATTTCAAAGTATTAAACTACTTTCTTTTTGTCCTTAGGTGATCTAACAATGTGATGGTAAGTGCGTGGTGATGTGATTTGCTGTTCGGTTGGAGGTTTTGATGTCGTAAGAGGATACATTTTGTATATGGTAGATAATAAGTCAGGGTTGTGCTCATGTCAGTTGACAATTATAGTCAATACAATCTGCAAACTGGAAGCTATGAACTCCAAGCGCGTGAAACTTAAACTTCATGTTATATCTGAGTTTTCGTATTCACTCTGCGCTTTATAAACATTATATTTATGTGTAAAGATAGTACAATGACTCTGACGTTGTATAAATCATATTTTTTTTTGTATATATGTGCTCGAATTTATACATATCATGATTATGGGTGAATGTAAGTATAAAGGTTTCATATTTTTATACTAACATATATCCTTATTATGATTGTATGTATGAACATATCTATATTGATATTAATTGACATATTATATCTATCACACATATGGTTGTATGTACTGAACGTGTTAAGATTGTATACTGTTTACCTGGAATATTTTTCCCAGTCAAAAATTCGCCCTTTACTGTGAAGATTGCTGTCATGAAGAAATCGCCGTAAATAAGAAATAAAGTTTGAAAAAGCGAAAGTTAAACTCCTGTGTACAATAGTCCTATTGACGTATTCATCCATGATTATTATGGTTGTATGTACTGTATGTGTACAGTTTTTATATTAGTATTGAAGTATTTATTAGTAATAATTATAGTTGATGTATTTGTGATTTTTCTTATTGATAATGATACACTTATCCGTTAAAGTTTAGGTTGTTTGAATATAGCATTGTTGACTATTATAAGAGTGGCGTTGTATGCACTCAATTGACATATATGATTGCACGTACATTAGTAAAGGTATTACTTTAACTCCAATGTGTTATAACATGCTATCATATTTTAAAATATGTAAAAGCAATATATAGATACTAATGTATTATTATAGTTACTATGGTAAATGTTGCATGTTGAGGAAACACATAATATATAAAGTACAAAGCATTATGTTTATTGTTATAAAGGTGTTAAGGACTGAGACTTTTTCACTTTTCATTCGAATAACATTCAGCAACAACAATACAATTATTTTTCATTTCCCAGTCAATGGTAAAATCTTAAGTTTCCTTACTGCTTTATAGTCATATAGCACTTGAATATATTTAAAGAGAGTCTCGTTACATAACTTTTTCTAACAGAACTAACTATTTCATAAAAAATGACGGCATAGGTATGAATTTCATATTATGTTTATCATATGTTTAAGATAAACACATGCCATAACACATTTTGTGAATATTTAGACTTGAAAATTAAAGACAACATCATCGTGTTTTATTCTGTGAATATATGTCGCCATGAAACTGTCCTAGTTACGCATGTTATCAATGTCAAATATCTGATAACTGAATCACAGACACACACACACGCGCATGCTATATTATTTGTTGGTTTAGTTGCCAAATGTTTATGATGCATTTTTTAGCGTAAAATAGGTAATTTTTAAATAAATTTGTTAACAGCGATTGAAATACGACAGATGACATGTTCTTAGGTTATCGTATTCTATGTACGTCGTTGACCTACTTTCGGTTACATACAGGAGTCACATAAGTGTGCACCGTTATTTATGTAGATTATACTGTTAGAATGTGACCCAATTTTATCTGAACAAGAATGGACTTGTTTTGATTTTCAGATTGTCAATTGACGGAAGAGTATACTCACGATTCTGCAACAGCACGTCTTTCGTCGTAGGGATTTTACGGAAGTTTATGATACCCTTTGGGAATTCCCACTTGTATAACGTTTTATGATTGGTTACATGGTTACCTTTTAATGATATAATAAATAAAGACTGAAGGAAAGTGTAAAATCAATGGTTTTAGACATAATCAAAACAACATTTGCCCAATGAAGCCAAATAACTCTTTTCTACTGTTTCACTTCATATTAGCATATAAATATGTTCAAACATGTTAAGAAATTAAAAAAAAAAGCTTAATCGGTAATCTCTATATCACGTGTCCTTTTAATGGCGGACGTATAAGCAGCATGGATTCTCTCCTAAATAGTTCGAGTCGAGGATACCCTGTTAATAACGTAAGTTTTTTAGGCAGCAACAGTTCAAATACTTGTTACACCAAGAAGCATTTTTCCTTCGGAATGATTGTTTCGAGCTATTCGCGCTTAACTTCTATTTTGATTCGCAGATCTCTTTGTTTAACACGTGTATCAAAAAATGCCGGTAAACAATCATCACACTTGTATAAGAAATCAACGTTGTTTGGAAAAGCTTTTCTTTTATTACATTACAGAAAAAAATTAAGCTTGTATGGTACACAACCCATCATATACAGATTATTTGATAGTAATAATAACAATTATAATAACATTCAAAGACGTGTAGTGCAGTTTTACTTTAATTATACCTTATCAACGATATGAACATTTTAGTGATATTTCAAAACGCAACTGATTTTAACGGTTTTATATTTTGAATTTGAATTACATTTTACGCATTTAATTTAATTTCATTCTTTGCTTTTTCTTTTGCTTGCTTTAAGTCTAAAAAAGGGGGGGGGATTTCGATAACAAGGTTAAAAGAAAGGCAATCGTGTGAAATATCCTAATAACATGTACTTAAGTTACTGATACCGAACATTCTTTTTCTTATTGTACTTTGGACGTAAAGTTGAAATAGGAAGAAAACTTTTGAGATCATCTCTTCTTTGAAATCTCGTTCGAACTCACGGATATACGAGAACTGTTCTACAAATATCTGACATTTGTTTTATTATTAAATTTTCAACGCTATCCGTTTTGTTAATTAAAGTTGGAAAATATGCTCTCTGTTATTAATCGGATACTTTTGTGTCGCTTATGAATTTTCTGTCGCATTTGTTGAATTGGGTAGACCGGAAGTTATTTGATAATGAATAACTTCACTCTTAAAATAGGAGTCTATACTGTAATTCCTGGAAGTAGAAAACTAGAAGAAATGCTGAAGTGAGGGTAAATATATTACAGCAATTTCCATGAAATCTTTATGATGACGCACATCAGTTCCCGAATTTTCGAATTTTTATTAAGTGTATCATCTGTAAAGAATATTTTACAAATTTATATATGTATACCGTAGGAACACAATATGCCAGAAAACAATGAAATCATTTAGTTCCTAAAGAGTAATGTGGACTGCACAGATCTTGTGTTAAATGAAAGTATATCTCTAAGTATTTGGTTGAATCTGTTTATGAACGACAAAGAATCTAAGAAATCATTTTGGTGATCAGTCTCACAATATTGAGAAACGTTTGATAAACGAAAACTATAGCACTCCTGATAAGAGTGCATGTTCGTAGATTTTACTGGTGGGTGCGCCTATAAAATGAGTAGGTTTTGTATAAGAGATCTTCAATTCCACGACGAAAAAACATTACCTGATATCAATTGTAAAAATTCAGAATCTACCACAATTATTGTTTTATTCAATAACGACTAGATTCATGGTGACCAACTTTCCTGGGTCCCACATCATATAATGCACCATGTGGTTCAGGAAATGCTGCAACCTTCCAGGTCATTTAGTTAAGGAATTATAAGGGTGGGTTTGTCTAGCTCCTTTGTTCCTTCTGTTTCTAGACTGAATTAAGGTTTGCCATTGGTTGTGTTTTTCGGTTTGGTGTATTTTGGTTTTTTGCAATGATAGATAACATTCTTTAAATCACCCGATGCCTACTGGAAAGGACATTCTAATTTTGGCTCCATATGCTGTCTCATCTATAACTATTAATGTATTGTGTCGGAATTATCAACAACAAATATATATCTTAGTCACATGATAAATGTAAGTGACAAAACTTATCACATCGGTCACATATGTGATGAAAGGTGCAGTTGATGATATTTTTACTGTAAAAAACTATATAATTAAATTTGTTACATGGAATTTTTGGTTATCTTCTTCAAGTAAAATAAACAAAAATAGGCTTTTGCGACAAGACGAGGATAATCTCGCAACATGGGCGTGGATTGCTAACTGTGGCACCAAAAAGCCTTTCTGTTTTCAAATATTACCACATGCGTCACGTGATTGTTTTAATATAAATGCCGTGACATGCTTTGTTTTCATTACTTTATTTAATGTTTCTCTCTTATAGGTTGAGATGAGATTAAACTGCATTATTTTGATTTTGTGTCTTCAAATTCTCTGTCCTTGTCTTTTCGTTTCGACACTGAGTTCAAGTTTTGTCCCAGTATATTGATGTTATCCTGTGCTTTCTATTTTACTGTTGGTCTCTTGCTGAATTCAGTTGCAAAGAATGTTTTCAATCGCCTTAACTTTTCCTGCATTCTACTATCATGAAAGGTGATAATAAAAGCAGATCCTATAGGGATCACGTTACCACGTAGCTGTCAATACAGCATATTTAATTCGTCATGAAAGTATATTCTTCAAAGATATATATATATATAACTTGATACCTTCGTATAAGTATCACTTTTGTATTGGTATTGTAAACAGCATATCTGTGTTGTGGTTTCTTCTGTCGCTTAGCAAACTCCAACGTACGTATATAGTAATCGCTATAAATACTCCCAGCTTTAGTATAAGATGACGTAATACACATACACACCTTAACTAATATTCACACTATTGGAATTACTTCTTTGCCTCATATATATATCAAAAACCCAGTTCTGTTTTCAGTAAGAAATATGTGCTTATTTATAGTAATATATTAATGGTTTTCCCATTGGTTATAAATAGAAATTTTTGATTTCAGAGGTTTTATTTATAGACTATTTGTATATAAAGTAACATGGAAATACCCTTGATTAAATATAGAACTGAGTCACTTACCACAATCGTGAACACAGCTATTGCCATTGACAGAAAAGGGTCCGTTATTACCCATGATGCATAGCAGAGAAATTACAGCAGTATCAATACTTTAATTACCATGTATATAAATACAAAACACTTCATTATTCATTTACAATGAACGAAAAGAAAAATTGCAGGAGAGTGATTACTTACTCTAAGAAAAGATTTTGTTGACAGCATACGACTACAAGCAAAGTAACAGGTATCTCGCTTTACCAACGTGAAGCACATTGATAGTATAGCGCTGTTAACTAAATGGTGGCAATTTCCGGATGTGTGCGTTCGAGGGGTCGTCTCAAAATAAATTCGAAAATCATGTTTCACTCAACATGAACTGCTTTCAAACCATGGCTGTCAGCACAATCTCTTAAAGTATCGCAATTTTATTTAAAAAAAAAAACTCAATAGAAAACCATGAACCGAACCGAAGAATATTTATTAGTTATTTACTACTATACATTTATACAATCGAAGAGAACGATTTTCATTATTGCAAATAATACTGAAAATAACTAAAAGTTTACGAGTTGCATAATATTTTATACAAAGATCCAAAACCGACCAATTGTGACAAAAATTAACTGATAATAGTAAAGATAATTTATTATCATTTAATTACGGAAATGCTATATGTTTACCAGATATGTCCTTATGGTAATGGAGAGAAGTTACACGTAAGTCTGAAGCTATGATGGGCTTTGTGTGTGTCCCTGGTCTGCTGATTCCAGGAACTGAGGCTCCCCGTTCGACCCTAAATCCGACTTTTTGATAGTTCTCTAACAATGGTCGCGTTTACTCACTGCCCACATACCCCGGCTCATTCGAAAACCTGAACAGAAAATCAAATACCAGCATATCGCGTGAAAATACCCAAATCATATTTTACCTCCGACCCTACAGATAAAAAAAAACCACCCAGTTTTGGGTTTGGTTTTTAAAGAATTGAAACATATCGTTTAGAAAAATATCCCAATTTAAGATTGGAACTCAAATGATTCACACATTTTCAAATGATTAAATATGCGTAATAAATGTATTTGTATAAATCTGACGTTGTTTTATCGTTATAATGGAATCAGAAAAGATGAAATATTATATGATAACAAATATATTATTAGAAATCTATTGATATATAATATGGTCGATTTTTACATTTAATGGCCATGTAATATATATATATATATATATATATATATATATACATATCTGGTAAAACGAGCACAAGCACTATGCATATATAAGAATACAGAATTATCTGGGAGAATGACCATTCTGTTACTGTAAAAGCACGGGTTTATATCCTTGTGTGGTCTACGTCTGTATACCAAAGTTATCCTATGACGAAAACCCGTGGGAACAACTCTCCATAATTGAATGACGTATGCTTCAATTATAATGTTTATATTAAAACTGATATATATAAATAATGGAAAATCTATACCTCCTAAAACTGAGGGGACAATGAGCAGTTCGTTTGTAAGATATTTCCCTATTGGTTTCAAATGAAAGTAAGGGTGAGAGGTTTCGCATTATGACGCAATCTTATATCTTCAATATGATTCTCATTTGGAAATATGTGATATAAAAGTTTTATTTTCTAAACAAACGATGTACGTACCGCCTAGTCCCTTTGTCAAGCTATGACTGAGTGAGCGGTTTGTATTATATGACGCAATATTATTTCGTTTTCAAGATCCCATATACTGAAGGTTTATTTACATAAAATGTTATTTTTAGAAAAGATGGTTTGTAATGTTGTGAAAGGTTGTTATAGGTAGCTTTCATCTTTTGCTGTATTTCTGCACGTGTTGAAATACTAGAACATGACTTTTCATACTTTTCATTACCACAAATGAGTCCTAAGTAAACAAAATGGCAATATGGTGCAATATTAAGTACACGTTGTTTTTCTTTCTGCATCGACAAACCAAAATGTTTACTTATTGGTTCCTTAGCTTTTAATTCTAGCGATCAGTATTACAAGTCAGAGTTGGAGTTCAGTAGATAACTTATAAATAAACTGATTCTTATTGGTTGATAGACCTGTATCCTAATATGAAATAATATGCCATAATCGTCAGATTCTGCCGAGATCCGCCTATTATCAAATCCAATACATAGTAATTGGAAATACCGTATCTCTCCCGAGATTTGACTTCCTAATACTCACTTACACCGGAAATACCCTAACGTTTTGTTATTTAGTTGATATGAAATTGTTTTACTTTGTGAATATGTTCTCAGATTGACCAAAGACATAATATTGACCTCAGATTCACAGTATATTCAACAAGTAAAAAGTCTCAAAAATAAAGTATTCGGTATATATACAGCCCGAATTTCATTATTGTTCTTCCATTTTGTTTAGGTTATTTGGTATGCTCGTCATGTTATAAATAGCCAGAAAAGGGAGACACTTAACAGAATGTACAGATTGGTGTTCACTCACTGATTCCAGTTATAGTGACAGTCTTTTGTCCAGCGATTTGCATAAGGAAGTATCGATTAACACCGACTACCCAGATCGGTTTGGTAAGGAGTATTCCAGGAATGAGAAGCGTACATAAGCGTGTGTATCGAGAACTTCTTTTTGTCTCTCATAGCGGTTTAAAAACTCAACAGGAATGTTTATGAATAATTGTCACTGAAGTGAACAAATCGCCAGTTTATTTAAATATTCTGTGGTTTATAAGACAAAATTGAAAGAGTTTTATGTAAATAATGTTATATCATTTGTAATTTTAATGCTTTATCTGCCAGCTTTAAGTAAAATACAACCATAAAATTTCACTGTTTTAAACTACGTGATGGTCTCATAATAAGAACCTGTCAGTACCTAGCGATAAGCCGTTAGTTAGCACGGTCTGTGCGGAGATTCATGTAGTTTATTTTTTGAAGCGGGAAGTGAAAAATTCTATCATATATTACTGTTCCGGGGTAATTTTCGCGCTATTATCTTGTGTGAAAAAAGGGGTAACAAGTACTCACGACTTCCTGTGCTACGATATTGTCAATGGAAACTATAGCACTCATTTATTGTCGAATATTGCGTAGTTAAGACGACATCCCCAAAAATTAGAGGTAATGGGTTCGACGCTCAGCAGGGACATTTATATATATATATATATATATATATATATACATATCCATTTATTCATTATCAGTAATACTTCAACAAGATCAAAGTATAAGATGAAATATATTTTGTTTAGGGATTGTTTGCCTTTCAATACTAGATGATATATGATTCGTCCCCGTCTAAAGTGGAACTATTTGGTTCATTTAATGGTTAGGCTATCCGGGTTTACTGTCCTATCAACAGCTAAGGTCATTTAAGAGACACGGTAGTCTAGTGGTAGGACGCCGGACCGTCACTGAAGGATTGCGGGTTCCAGTCACGGCACGACACTGTGTTGTATCTTTGAGCAGGATACTTTACTCCGCTTGTTCCAGTCTACTCAGCTGTAAATGAGTACGTGGTTGGGCATTGCTAGAATTGTTGAATGTTAGCTGTTAGCGCCGAAATGGCAGCTCCGGCTGTATGCTCCCCAGGTTCAACATTAAAGCCAAAATTGAGGTTTTGCCAAGCAAGGCGCTAGCAAAAACGAATACCTCAGACATTGCAATGGGTGCTACAGCCGATTTATTTTGGTCGCTTTATTGTCCCCAAATATAGGGCACAAAACAAATCCCAAATTCTGCAGGGAGGTTCCCCACAAAAGTCGCCTCTTAGGATCATGCAGTGGGTAACAGCAGGTGTACTCTTTTTTCGATCCCAGACCTGCAGGGATGTCATTTAATGTGGTTTGAGAGACAGAGGATCTAAAACTACACTTTTTTTCAAGGCTAGTCAAATATGTCATAAGTCGGAGCCGAGGTGAGCGAGGCAAAAATCACTGTGGCACGAGAAAAAAATCGTTGGTGAAGTGTGTCAGTAGAAGGGGGCGTGTCCATCAGCCTGGCTCAGACTTTGATGATACAACATGTCTTGTGTGGTATACAGTATCGATATCTGACACGACATGTGTTTTGAACACAATGTACATGGTGTAGTAGCGGTTTCGCTCTGTACCGACGAATCATGTACTTTTCACTAACCACTGGTTAAAGTTAAGTAACGTTTGGACAACCAAGGCCATATGGCTATCCAGCACCTATGTCGTAAATGAAGCTTAACTTGCAATGACCTGAGACGGGCTGTTGTGAGTTCTGTAATGCCCATGAATTTCTTTATCAACGAGGAAGGATACAATTTTCGTTTCAGATTTCAAATCCGTTGTTATGTTCGTCATTGAATGTGATTGTGTTTCAAATATATACTGGGCTTTCACTCGTAGATAGGTGTTGGTTTTATACAGGGATGTAGAGTAAATGGCAGGTCGAATTAATATTAAAGAGTGTTTTGGCATTATATTGTTGGTGGTATCTTACAAGTATTTGTAAATATAATTTTCCCATATATATATAATATATCCGTTATCAAAATAGAACTCTATTGGTGTCCTATGGAGCTGATCATAGATACTTAAGGATATCTGGTTTGATTGATTTCCCGAAGCAGGGAGAAGGTACCTGGTTAAGCAGATATTGAGTGCAGAAAGTCATCAGTGTTATTGTCTGCTATATCTGCAACATTTAGCGATAGCCGAAAGCGCGAACAATTAAATTGTAAAATTGTCAAACCCTTTATACAAAAGAATGATGCACAAGACATCAGTAACAAAACAATTAGGCTACTAGCATCCATTCATCCATCTCAACATCTCCCTCCAACCATCACGCCCACACAGACAAATCTATCTGCCCTTTTATTCTTCCATCAATATCTATCTATCATCTAAATACATACAATGTAGTTACCTTTCCACACACAGTACATTATGTTTTTTTATGGATAAAGGGAAGTAACTCCCATCAAACTTAGTGGTTAACTCAACCCGATAGTAAATTATGACCTCACTACACATTTGCTATTATTTGGAGATGAAAATCTCTCTCCTGCAGAAAAGTATGACCTGTTCATCTGTGTTCAATGATTTATCATAACAACAAAACGTGTGTGATGATATACCTGTTACATCTCTTAAATTATGAAAATGCACGTGTACACGAGTTGTTTTTGAAAATGCTTTATAATATGATTTGTGAATCTGAAGTGCTTACATAAGAATTAGTACCTGCATTTTGCTTTTGAAACTACTTCCTGATATTATTTGTAAATTTTAAGTATTTAAATATGAATTAGTATTAGTTTTTGTCTTTTGAAAATGCTTCTTGATATGATTTGTGAACTGGAAGTGTTTAAATATGATTTAGTATCTGTCGTTGTTTAACCTTTTGTCTCTGGCAACACCCTGTACACTCACCCCTCCCCAGTCCCCCCACACCTCCCTCCCCTGTGTTCCGTCTTTGCGTATTGCAGAGTTATCTTCACTTGGGAGCAGGTATTGATTGTTACGTCACTTGTTTGTGAGAGTAACGTCATCAATTTTTGAGAAAACGACGTAATTTTCTCACACAAACAAATGACGTAACAATCAATACCTTCTCTCAAGAGAAGATAACTCTGCAATACGCAAAGACGGAATAGTAGGCTCACAACGACTCAGTATTGGTATTTAACTTATACAATTATTATTAAAACCCGATTGAAAATCTGTTGACAACGTAACGTTAACATGCTGTCCGTCTCAGTATTGTAATTTCCTTTTGAAGGAAGTGGATTATTATAAGCTCTTAGCCTGTGTCCATATCCTGTTTCTGATTGTACATTTGTGAACTTGCTCGAACTGTGTGTAAAATTAAAGAAACGAAATAATCTTTACACTTAGCCTTATGGGGCGTTCAATACTTTACCTTTTGTTCATGGTTATTTATTATTTTATCTGTTTTGTATTAGTCTCATTGATTCTTGCTGTTGTCTTTTCGTACCGATAATTCATACACGGCCTCTGAGTCCTTTGATACTTTATTTGGTTTGTTTTTTTATTCATTTTTATAAAAGTTATTTCAATGTTTTATATTTCTATATATTTTATACTACTGTTTCTATTACTACTGTATCTATTACTACTGTATCTATTACTACTGTATCTAATACTACTGTTTCTATTACTACTGTTTCTATTACTACTGTATCTATTACTACTGTATCTAATACTACTGAATCTAATACTACTGTATCCAATACTACTGTATCTAATACTACTGTATTTAATACTACTGAATCTAATACTGCTGTATCTAATACTATTGTATCTATTACTACTGTATTTATTACTACTGTATCTATTACTACTGTATCTATTACTACTGTATTTAATACTACTGTATACAAAACCACTGTATCTAATACTGCTGTATCTATTACTACTGTATCTAATACTACTGTTTCTATTACTACTGTATCTATTACTACTGTATATATTACTACTGTATCTATTACTACTGTATCTAATACTGCTGAATCTAATACTACTGTTTCTATTACTATTGTATCTATTACTACTGTAGTTAATACTACTGTATCTATTACTACTGAATACTGCTGTATCTATTACTACTGTATTGTATTTAATACTACTGTATACAAAACCACTGTATCTAATACTGCTGTATCTAATACTACTGTATCTATTACTGCTGTATCTATTACTGCTGTATCTATTACTATTGTATCTATTACTACTGTATCTAATACTACTGTATCTAATACTACTGTATCTATTACTACTGTATCTAATACTACTGTATTTAATACTACTGTTTCTATTACTACTGTATCTAATACTACTGTATTTAATACTACTGTTTCTATTACTACTGTATCTATTACTACTGTATCTATTACTACTGTATCTAATACTGCTGAATCTAATACTACTGTATTTATTACTACTGTATCTATTACTACTGTATCTATTACTACAGTAGTAATATAAACAGTAGTATTAGATACAGCAGTAATAGATACAGCAGTATCTATTACTACTGTATTTAATACTACTGTTTCTATTACTACGGTATCTAATACTACTGTATACAAAACCACTGTATCTAATCCTGCTGTATCTATTACTACAGAATCTATTACTACTGTATCTTTTACTACTGTATCTATTACTACTTTATCTAATACTACTGTATCTAATACTACTGTGTCTAATACTACTGTATCTATTACTGCTGTATCTAATACTACTGTTTCTATTACTACTGTATCTATTACTACTGTATCTAATACTACTGTTTATATTACTACTGTATCTATTACTGCTGTATCTAATACTGCTGAATCTAATACTACTGTATCTAATACTGCTTTACCTATTACTACTGTATCTAATACTACTGTTTCTATTTCTACTGTATCTATTACTACTGTATATATTACTACTGTATCTATTACTGCTGTTTCTAATACTGCTGTATCTAATACTACTGTATCTATTACTACTGTATTAGACACAGTAGTATTAGATACGGTAGTAATAGATACAGCAGTATTATAAACAGCAGTCATAGATACAGTA